TTTTCTTCACTTTCTAATCTGTGGGCACTCTCTTTTTCTATTCTTCTGTCTCATTAACAAAGTTAGTGGAAGAACTTTTGCTTCTGTGAGGGCCTAGTTTATTTGCTTTTATGTAATTTAGCTGCTCTTATCAAATAGTCTTTTGTGCTAGCTACCACAGAATTTTGGTATCTGTTTTGCTAACCAAAGTATCAGCAAAGATTAAAATGTTGTTTCTTTCTCTTTCTCTCTCTCTATGTCTCTGTGTCTCCTTTTTAGGGAGATGGGTTTGGCCTAAAGATGTATAATTTCTTTTGGTTTTAAAGCGAATTCAGTTTGACAGATGAAACCCTCCTTCAGAATTTTTTTTTTTAATTCAGAGGATCTCAGAAAAGTAGGAAAAATATTTCAGAGTCCAGCACAAAAGTGTGTTTGAACATGAGAAGATGTAAGACTCTCAAAAATAAGTTTGCTCTACAGTTGCTCAAGAACTAATATAACTGCTGTAACAAGACCAACAATGAGAAAATAGTTTGACATAAAATCTTTTCTTTTCTTATCTGCTGTTTGAGTGAGTAGATGCCTCTGTTCTTGTTTAGTGATAATTTTTGTGATGTTACCAGTGTGGAAAAAATCTCATATAGACAAAGATGCAGGCCTTTTATTAAAATATATAAATTTTTTTAGGAAAATTGTAAGAATATCCTAGTCTTGCTACTCAGACTTTCAGTTAGCAGACTTATCTTTTCATTAAACATACACTCAATCAAAATGAGATACCAGGGTGGTCTCAAATTACCATCCAAATTACCATCAAAAGAATGGTTTTACAGGAATGATTTAAGAAAAATGCTTAAGACTAATATTTGCTTTAAGGCAATGCTTTCCAAGTGCATGAATAATAGATGTCATCAAACATTAGCCTTCCTTCTACACCTTTTTTTGGCAGTGTGCAATAAATTATTTCAATGTTTACTTTCAGTTTGATAGCTGATTAGATGTTGGCCCAATAACTGGTTATACTGCTGTCTTCAAGGTCTTGACTTCAGTAGGATTATTTTAAAAGAAATGTATTGCATATGTTATTGCATATAGATAGGCAGCCAATGGAATGGTGGCAGTAAAAATCTGGTGGACCTCTAAGAAAGTGGGCAAATATTCCATCTCCTTATCCAGACTAGAGACAATGTTGTGGCTATAGTGGTAGCAGTAATTGTAACAATCTAATGCAAATCCAGGTGCATATTCTGTGGACATTTAGTCAGCATGTGTAGTTACTTTCTGTAACAATTTTCTGACATAATTTATTAAAATACTCTGTCGGACTGATATTTTTTATGATGTAACCAAATTTTTGATACATCAAACAGCAACTTGATACTCAAGTTGGGGGTTTGGGTTTCTTTAATGCTGTTTTTTAAAAGTTATTTTGATACCATATCTGGGAATAGAAGATACTAACATGCATGTTGTATGTTTCTTTTAAAGAGAAAATAGTATTTATGTGTTTGTTTCAGCTTTTTTAAACTAAGTTTTAGTGCTTCTAAAAGTCTCAGATAAGGTAGGTGTAATTTATTATTTAAATATAATTGTCATTGTTACCATCAATTACAGTTGGTAGTTTCACAGTGGAACTGTTCCTTAAGTTCCTTCATGAAACATGTCTTTGGTCGCCTTTACGGCTTCATTTTACCTCACCTAGGACACCAATTCTGCTTGAGGGTATTGTTAGAGGATGTTTCCACACAAAAGCTTTACATGATAAATAATTTTAACAATGGACCTTGCTATTGAAACTTAAACTGACATCAGTTGATTAGCCAAATTCTTGTTTTATATTTTTAAGCAGATGTTTTTCCATAGAAAATGGCGCTTGTGTATTTGATAGTTTAGAGTATGTTGTAGTAGTATAGAGTCCCTTGTTCCTTTGAACTCCTCTGGATTTTCTGTATAAGCATAAACACCCATTTCATGCATTTTGGAGGCCTCATTTCTTCAAAAAAGAAACAAACAGAAGCAGAATATGTCATACCATCCCTCTTCTGAAGATCTTCCTTTTTTTTGTATTTCTTTGGTAATGCACCAAATACATTCTTGACTTATTTTTTCTGATCACTTTGGCACCACCCTTATTCAGAAATCCTGTTAATTATTTCTTCATTTCTGCTTTTCTTTCATATCTGGAAAAAAAAACACCAAACCTCTCAAAATCACTCTTGGCTGCATCTTCCTCTCAAACAATTTTTTCATTTTACCTTTAACTTAACCAGGTAAGTATTCATAATGATAGAATTGATTCTTTTCCTATGTTTCTTCACAGAACCTGTTTGAGTCAAGGGCAATATTTTATTTTTGCTTTCAGAATGGTTCTCAGTATAACACCATCCAGTCTGCCATTTATCCCTTCCTAGCCTTGCATCTTTTGCAGCCCTGTTGCAGCCTCCCCCTGTTTGAGCATTGCAGAAAGAACATTTTCTTTCTCTTTGTAGAAATTCACTACTATACAAATCTCTGCCCCTCACATATTCATCAGCAGTTAATTTGTAATGACTCCTTGAAACTGTAGTTTTCCCTATTGCCACAAAAATAGATAAAAATTCTTGCTGTACTCAGGCTATTGTGGCTGCCATCCATCAGGACATCGTGTTTGTTCTTTCAGTTCCCTGGAGTCTGTGCCCATTTGTTATTGCTTATCTCAGCTAGTGAGATCTGCAGGCTGGGAAAGTAATTGTCCAGCGTTTAGAGAAGGATCTAGCGTTGAAACATGTAGACCTATATTTCTGACATTGAGATATTGCTATCCTGGTGATGTAATACCAATTTTTTTCCCACTTTACTAGTACTGACCAAGGAAAGACACTTTTATTTAGTAGAAGTAATTCTATTTTGGACATACAGAGTAAACCAGCCTTTAAAAAAGCATAGCTGTAAACTAGTGAATTTGGACGTATTTCCTTTGGAGGAAACACAAGAAGGAGTCAGGGAATACTCAGTTCAAACATAATGTCTGCAAGCTATAATGATCTACAGAAAAACATTTTAGCCTTTGTTGATATTTTCAGTTCTGTGAGTAAATTTGGCACATCCATTATCTTTTGTCAGTGATGTTTTCCTTTTGGATAAAAGTCTTAAAAGCTTTGGTCAAGTCTGTAACAACCTATTCACACATGTACCCTCATCTTCCAAATAATGCTATACTTCTGTATTAAAAAAAAACCCAAAATAAACAAACAAGGAACTTGGAGTGGTCTGGAGTGTATGGACTTCATAGGAACTCCTAAAGTCTTTGAAGCGCACAGATACTACAACCAGACATGAAATCTGGTCCTCCTAGACTTTTAAGTCACATTTTTGCTGTCATACTAGAAAAGAGAAAAAGCTCTGCAAGTTGAATAACAGAGCAATCCAAATTATGTCCTACTTGTTCATTGCTGTTTGCTGTTAACATTCTAAACATATTTCTATTCAGAAAAAAAATTATTTAAAGCCTACAAAAGAAAATACCCTGATTTATTTATTTTTGGTTTATAATACAAGCTACTGATAGGAAAAGAGGAGACAAATACCACAGAACAGGGAGCAGTGAAAAGGGAACGTGTCAAAGAAGTGAAGATTTGATGAGTGTCCTTAAAATAACTGAAGATTTTAAGGTTATAGTGTCAAGACCACACTGGGTTCCTTTGGGCCTTGAATATAGCAGTATTGAAATAGCTGGTAAATATAAGAAAACTAAGCAAAAAACCTAAATCAAAATTGTTCTTCTGGTGACTATAATCAATTCAATAGGCAATAATCTATATTTTAGATTATTATAGCATGGCTCCTTGGGCAGAACCAACTTAGATTATTCTTTAAGTGACTCAGAGGAAATGCAAAGCTCATTTTCCTCTTACTGATTATGAAGAGAAGACCTAGGGAAAAATACGTCAAACTGAATTTCACTTGACTTTCTCAAGACATCTGCCAAAAGGCAGTGCAATAAAAAACCCCAGCAATATCAATGATGGTGTCGCCCTGATCCTACTAGAAATGTGTCTCCCTGTGGTAGAGAAGGATATTTATCTGTATCACTTTATTTCTGTGAGACCATAGTTCAGATCTGGAGGGTCTTTAGATACTAATAGTTGTGAATATCTTTCTTCTTAGTAATGTAGCCAGCACAGAAATTCATCAGTAAAAAAAATGGTAATAGTTCTGTTGTGGACTAGTTAATGTTGGTATTTGGATTTCATCACCCTCTCAGTAGAATTTTTAATCTTGACACAAGATCACTTTTGAAAAAAAAAGCAATTGTAAATTTATACATAAGACTTGATGATCCTCAGTGTGTTTCAGTGAGAGTAAATGTTAGAATATCTAAATTAGTCTCTGAAGTGTAGTTTAGAGAAAATTGTATCTAGGAGAGGTACAGGGCTACGGGTTGAAGTTTGCTTAGCTCCCACGTCTAATAGTCAACTTGGAAAGGTTATTTTGTGAACTAATGTTCTTTTGTGATACACTGAGTGTTTTATAGTGGAAGTCTGCTGATAAGCTTTTATTTAATTTCTGGGCCTGACAATGTGTATGACTTTAATATGCAAGATTAAATATCCTGAACAATAGATTCACCTCATTGAAATAGTCCACGTCAGACATATTATTATAATGCTTAGGGAAGAATTAAAATAAATTCAATAAAATCAAAATATATTAAAAATATATTGTGTTAGTCTATGTAAAAGACTCAGTTAAGAAAATTATGTTTGTCATATATTTATCCTTTTGAATAATTGTGACAAAATTTTAACAATTGTTGAGGTACAGTAATACTGCTTTTCTCATGGAGTAATTTAGTGATTCAGAGAAAGGGATTTTCTTTTGAAACACATTGTCACTTACATTGTCTAAATTTTTAACATCTTAGATTATCCTTTTTTGTTCCCAGCATTATTGGGAAAACAAGTCAAGCGTTTCAACTTGGTATTTACATCTACAAGTTTTAAACATTGTATGCCATTAATGTGCTAAGGCAACAAAATGAGCTGCCCTCCTGATTTTACTCTTGTCACCTACGGTGACGGCAGGAATTGCCGTATCACAAAGGAAGGTGTGTCAGATCAGCGATCCTGTTCAGCAGATTCTTATTCAGCTGCACAAAATTATCTTCAGCACTCAAGTAAGAATTACTGTTGCTTCTGACATTCTGTACTTTTTAGTCATTTGCTGTTGTCAAAATGATGTTACTGCAAAGTGCTGCTAATTTAGTTACTGTTCTTTAAAAACAACAGAACTTGACATTTTTGCAGATGGCAGGATGCTTTAAAAATATATCATTAAAATAAAGACTAACTTTGAATATTAGTATGTGGAGGATGGCAATAATTGAGTCATATAAAAAAAAAAAAGCTGTAGCTCACCTCAGAAAAATGGATTGTACAGTAAAGTATTTTTACAACATTCTGTCATACCAGCAATATGACTACTTAAGGTGACAATATCATATACTGACTTGGAGAGTTAATAAAATGCTTTCTTCTGTAGTAATAGCTTCAATAACTTTGAAGTTATATTTTAATTATCAGTACATAGTAATGCTGTCATGGGAATTTTAGTGCAATAGATGAAATCCTGAACATGTTAACTATTTGAAATGTCAGATATTTTTCAAATTTAAGACTTATTTTAAAATTAAGTTCAACTGTTTCATAGTGAGAGAGAGTTGAAGTTATTTCTTGTTGAGTCCAAAACAAAAATGGAGCTGAGATGATTAAAAATCTGGGTTCTCACCTAAAACTGTGATTGGAATCTCTTTATTCTGCAGAAAGATGGATACCATGCCCCTATTTGAGAAATTTGCTATTATTAAATAAACAACTTTTTATTTTCCAAAATGAAGCGTTTACATTTGGGATGTAATGTTTATCACCTCAGGGCTTTTGAGATTGATCAGCCAAATTTGTTTAGTTTTGTTCAGAACTGAATAACATAACTGAACTTGGATGTGCTTTACATGTCTCTCTTTTGTTTGTTTGTTTGTTTGTCTGTTTTTTAGTTGTCAAGCTTATCAAAACAGGTAATACAAGAATTAAATTATCAGAGACAAAGGAAACAAGCATTATTTAAAATAATTGGAAATTATATCCTTCTTTCATCAGCAGAAATGAGGCAGTTCAGTTTTTACATGGTATTTTAGGAGTATGTCCAAGGTGCTCATTAGTGAGCCTATCCTCTCTGTTGAAGAAGGTTTTCTCAGGTGGCTTACTAATTAATATGAGTTATTGTAGTGTAATGTGGATGCTCAAGAACTGAGAACTAACAGCAACTCAAAAACTGGCTCAGAATTGACCACTGAAGCAGCAGCAACAGCTTTTCTCTGATTTCAGAGAAACCAGAATCCATACCTGCACTTGTTTAGTATGTTCCACATGCCTGCCTTGCATTTGTTTATGTTTTTACAAATCTGAGGTCGAGTATTTTTTATAATACACAGCTGTTTTCTCAAAATGTTACGTATTCCAGTTGACAGTTCTAAACTGAAGTTTGCAAGGAAGAGTTCTTGCCTGATAGTTCTTGGCTGCCAGCAGCCTTCCCTGTTTCCATAGGAACAAGAATCAAAGTGATCTCTGGAAAACAATGTAAGAAAAAGCTTTTTAAAAAGCATTATGTAAATCCTTGGCCTTTTTTTTTTTAACTGATCTGACAACTGATTTCATTAAAACAAAAACTAAAATTGAACACTAGTGCCTGAGGCAACTCCAAGTTTCTCAAGCACTGGACTTGTTCCTTAGCATTTCTGCTTCAGTATATCCCAAGGTCCCCATGGTACATTAACTACACACTGCAGTGGTATGTAATCCAGAGAATATGTTGTCAGCCTTTCCTAAGGCATCATTTTATTTACTCTTTCATAGGCTAAGGAAAATTCAACTTCTGACTTAAAGCACATGTGTAAGGCCTTATCTGCATGAAAAAAGAATAGTATCTGTCTGTAAAAACAAACAAACAAACAAACAAACAAACAAAAAACCCAAAAAACCCAAAAAACTGCATGCCAGCAGCTGTCTGGAGAAGTCTTTTGTGCTGCTTAGCATGTGACTTTGACCCCTGGTTTGTCAGAGCAAATCAGGATTCCTGTGAGGCCAATAAAACCATTCTGGATTGATAGCTGTCTAAGAGCAGTAATTTGTTTGAGTGGGATAAATGTCTCTACTATGGCAGTGTTTGAATGTGAATCATTAGTAGTCAGCCCCTCCCTAAGTAGTCAAAAAGCTGAATTCAGTTGAGTGGTACTTTATGAATTTGCATCAATGAAATGATTACAAAGTGTGTACTAAATGGTAGAAAATAATAGTTTTTCAAACAATCTCTGCAGGTATAAACAATTATGCAGAAACAACATAGAAGATAAATTCAAAAGGGTAGTAACATATCATAGAATTGTTGTCAGACTGGGTTGATGTCATTGCAGTTACCAACAGCGGACACTGTACATTTGCTGTTGGAACATAAAAATTATTTTAAAGGAAAAATTATTTTAAAGTTTTTATTGAAGACTTTAAGTAGTCTTTGTGGGTAAAAATAAGACTTTGTGGTTTTTTGTTTGGGTTTTTGTTTTTTCTAAATATAGGTGAAAGATATGTTCTTTTTCAACCAAAAGGATACAAGAAGAAAATGTATATAAAATCAGTTATGCTTTCTAAACAAGTGAAAGGTAAATTACCTCTCTCAGGAAGCTTAGAGCAAAAGGGGTGCTCTGAATTTTATTAAGACCCATAAGAAACTTAAAAGAGGCCACTGAAGCAATTCTACGCCCAATCAATGAAGGTCTAAGCTTCTTCATTAATTCCAGACAGAGCGATTAATTTTCACCAACATGAGATCTAGTGTAATGCTCTTTGTGCTCCATCTATAGAAAAATGTCCCAAATACTAGCACTTTGATCAGGGAGGCAAATCTGGTATTACCAGTGTTAGGCTAATAATGATGTTTACCTTCAAGACTAGAGGAGCTGAGTTATATGGTAAGCTAAGCCTAACAGAATGGGGAAAAAAAAGGAGCCATATTATAATATGCCATTAATTCAAGTCATATACTGTTGTTTGTCATTATGTGATTGGATATCCACAATTATTTTTGCAGGGTAGCTACATTTCTCAGTAATGGCACTTCTGAATGGGTTATTTTTGTGGCAGGTGTAACTGAATGGTGAAAGTGGATTTCTTTGTTTCATGTAGCTTCCTCCAGCTTTGCAATGCAACTTGAAAAGCAGAATCAATGAGAGATTCAAAAAGTCCCACTTCAGTCGGCAGAACAATCCTTGTAAACTGAAATCAGAAAATCCCATTTACTACTTGTGGTCAAGTCTCTCTTTCCATTCAATTATGCTGTTGATATTAGTATCACAAAAATATAAGTGTAAGAGTCCATTTTCAAAAGGAAATCCTTAGAATAATCTCCAGCTATCCTATATTTGGCAAATATGGAGTCTCCTTAAGTAAGAAGTTTTGTCAGGTTGGTTTCAAGTTTGTATCTTGTCATTAGAACTCTTTCTGTAAATGGAAAGGACCTGCTAGTTCCTAAGACACAAAACCGGATTTCATCTCATCAGAGCTCAAAAAGACAAGAGGAAGGGGAATGTAACTAGAGATTATATAAGCTCCTAATTTATGCAAGCTCTGCTTGATATGTTTATAGTTCCTTAATATTTTTCATGTTTTGGACTGTATTTCTACTTAAACACTTAATCCTAAGAGAGCAGTGTCCCAGAGTACCTTGAATATGACATACCTTGTCCTGTTACACAGTGTGTCAGCAACATTGTAGTGTCATCAATTTTAAAGTACTGCAGATTTGTAGGAATGGCCTGACTGAAGAAGCATTCTTGCATGTTTTCCAGTGACATGCTGGATGCTTTACAACAGAGAAAGATCTAATGACTAATATCAGAATTTCTAAATGTTCCTTCAGAATCTCCCGAGAGGGCTGCAATCAGCAAAGGATTTGTACTTTATTTCCTTGGCATCTGTGGGAGACTGAAGCTAAGATACTTCATTTATGAATTTATGATAAAGTAGTTATTATATTTATTATTGTACCTGAAGTTTGATGACTAAGGTGACTTACTATCATTCACATAATTCTCCCTCTGTAACTTAATTTGATTATCACCTACTTCCACTGAATTATGGAATCATCTAAGTAGTTGTTTGCTGTGAAACAGACTGATCCCAAATACTGGATCCTTCCTTTTTTTTTGTAATAATTAACCTGAGGTGCTAGAAACTTCCTGGAAGGTGGCACATTGGTAGTACATTAGATGCTTCTAAGGATTCTTCTAAAGATGCATAAGGATGCTTCTTTCTGAGCTATCAGTTTCATGCTATCCTGTAAATGAAGTTGGGATTTACATTTACCAATTCCTGTATTTCAGCCATAACATTAAATCTACTAAATACCTCCTCATTGTGTATTGAGTTGAAGTTTTCAGAAATGAATGCCCAAAAATATGGTAAGAAAATGGAAGTGTTTATTATAAAAGTAACCTAATTTTCAGGTGTTCAGAAAAATAAAGGAAATTATTTGTAAATTTTATCAACTGTAAAATTGTGTTAGCTTCAAAACTACTGGATTTAAACCTGTTGATAAGGGAAGAAATACTCTATCTAAAAAGTAAATGGTAGTAAATTGAAAATGCTTGAAACGTTGAATGCAATTCTGGGCATTCTACCTGGAAGGAAGTATAATTTAGATATCATTTGGAGGTAATGGGAGAAACCTAAATAGAGAAAAGAATGATGTTGAAGTTTTATAGCAAATGTTCTTATGAGGTTGTACAATTTCTGGAAATAAAATTTTTAAATAATGGAGTTTTAACTACACCAAGTTAGAAAACCTAATAAGAATTACAGACAAAAAGATTCCTCCACTTGATCAGTGGTGGGGTAAAGGTCTTCCAGCCCAGAGATTCTTCTGTTTCTGTAACTGTAAAAGTGTCATCATGCTGCATAAATGCATAACAGATTTCTCTCCTGTACACAAAGGTGGTCCTACTAGAGTTGTTATCTGTGGATATTTTTAAAACTAGATGCTTTTAAGCTTAATGTTAGTATCATGCTCATATAATCAAGTAGCTGAACTAACTTTCAGATTTTAAAAGTGCTGGAATTCCTCTAATGGGAATTATACCACTTGGATATCAGCTAACAATTTCACTTGAAGCCACAGTTTTAAAAACCAGAGTCACCTGCTGCTTCTCTCATAGGTTCAAGAGAATACACTTTCCTGTTTATCTTCACAGAAATGTGTAGTTTGTGACATTTTTTTCAGATAATCTGAAAAATTCAGTGCTTTATACTAAGTGCAGCTTGCAATGTTCAGTGTTTCTGGAGAGAAAAAGGTAGGATGTTCATAATCGTGTTCACCACTTTTCCATTAATCTAAAAAGTACTGAAATTTCTTTTGACTTCTGATTCCACTGGGAAATGTAAGAAAGTGTAAACTGCCTCCTAGAAGTCTGAAGTTTTGGAAAATAGGAAGGATGTACTTTTCAGGTGTCTATTTTTTTGATCTCTTTTTTTTTCCCCCTAAATGCTGCTGAATTGATTGAACCCTATATGTTCACAGTGGATTGGCATGGGGTACATCTTTCTTTAGGTGGAAATATGTTGCTTCCAGATGACATAAAAGGTAAACAGAGCACCATAAACTTCTGTAGTGGCATATATTTTTCTAATAAAGTGTATGGTATCAAAGCAGAAGGAATTGCTACTCTAAGATCAGTCTTTAAAGATAATAAAATTATGTTGACCATACTGATATTGGGGGGGGGGGGGTTGTTTGTTTTTTTTGTTTGGAGTTCTTGGTTGGCTGGGTTTTGTTTTGTTTAATTCCTAGTAATATACACAGTTTAGCGCTGCTGGAACTTTCTACTGATTGAAGAGACTACACTTTGAAATTATAAAGAAATATCACAGATGCAAATAATTTATGATTCATCCATGAAAATGAATAGAGATGTTTGTAACTGAAAATGTCATAGTAAGGATTTATCTGTCCTTATGTATGATTTTTAAACCAAGTCTGTTTAAACCCTTATGTTGTTCTTTTGTCATGTTTGAAATAGTTGTAATGGGTTGATTTAATTACATAGCTGGATCAAACCATACGAACTTGAGGAGGGAACACATACATATATGTATACATACTTTAGAATATATATCAATATATGTATCAATTCTAATTTGTACTAGTGATACTCAGACAAATCATAAACACCATGTAAAATCAAACCTGCCAGCTGTGGTGTCACCCTGGGTAGAGAACTATAATTCCTGGTTCAGTGACTTTTTTCATAATGTGTTTTTTGTGCAATGGACATAAGGGAAATGTGTAGCCTGTGTTTTGGTAATTGTGCCATTTACATTTTTCTAAATACAGAAAAAACTGTGTTGCAATCCATGGACTAGAGAATACAGTAACATTGAAATTTGTAGCACCAGGAAGAAGAGTGTGAAACCTTAATTTTGATGGCCTTTGTGTTGAAAATAGCATATCTGTTCCACAGCTTATTGCAAAAAACAGAATTAATACTAGGTGTCAAGGGTGATATTGGAGTAGGAAATGAGTCTCTAACAATCACTTTAAATATGAGCATTATTTTGTTCCTGGAGACGATAATGTAATTTGTTGAGATGCTCATTATCTGTAATTTTTGAATCTCTTAACCTGCAGACAGTACTTTTGTCCTCACAAATTGCTGATGGCTGTGTGCCCTTTCCGCTAAAAATTTCCACTGTAAGTGGGAAAAAATTAGAAAGTTGCATTTCTGAGTTCTGTTACATTAAGTCTTTAAATTATTTTTCATTGGTTAGAATACTTCCCTAATGTGTGTGCGCCAAACATTCATATCATGCCATAAAATTACCCCACCTTTTCAGGGGGTCACTTTGCTCAGTGGGAATTACTAATCATGAAGCTTCTGTCTTGTCATTATGTTTGCAGTGAAATTACTAAGAAACTGATAAGGGAGCATAGATTCCAAATTCAGCAATATAACATTACTTGCCTTTTACTTTAAGGCATTTTTGGCGCTTCTGGCATGGCAGAAGGGATGACATATGAACAGTTGCAGATAAGCTGTATATTTACCTATATGTATTCATTTATTACTCTTAATGAACATAACTCACTGAAATTAAGTTCTTTTGTGTTGTAGACTAATTGAAGAGGTTCTAGAGGAAAGTGGTTATTATAGTTTCTCTTCTTACAGGTCAGTCTAGTCAATTTAAAAATATAAGGTTAATTATGATGTGCTAAACACAAATTTATTATCTTCCTGTTTATGTGACTGAAATTCACTTTAAACTTGGTGCAATATGTGGTTTATTATAATATATGGATGCAAGGACTGGAAGAAATATATGTGGGACATATTAACTAATCTAAGCAGCTTTTTTTGGCCACATCTGTTTTCTTCATTCAGATGAAAGAGTCGTACAAGTGTGGCAGCAATTTCCTCACATTTTTTCCCCACATAAACTCACATCTGAACAAAAGGTTAATTACATAGAAGAATATTTTATTTTAATACTCTGCCATTACAGGTTTAAAGGACAAAGCTGACATCTTTAGCAAAATATTTGAGTACAGCGCAAAATCCAGTGTAAGTGTTTACTAGCACAAAAGTGCTAGGGGATGAAAACAAATGTGGTGGTCTTTGAAACTAGGCAAATGCTTTGCCCTCAAGATGGTATGTCTTTTCCTGCAGGAAAATTTTGACACAAGAAAGAAAATATATTAACTATATAATTTCTCATGTTTTTCATCTGACATCCTGTTATTTATTGTCTCAAATATTCTTTAATGCAAAAGAAACATTAACTGCTTCAGTTAAGTCTATTCTTGTCTTTACATTAATCACCATTTTAAAGTTTGTGAGACTACAGTTAGTTTAGGTTTTCTATAAAAACAAATAAACAAACATAAACCCTCCCAATCCCTTGCCCTCCCTATTATAAGTATTAAGAGATTTTAAGAATGGTTCCTGGTGCTTCAGCAATATTTTTCAGTTATTTCTTGTCTCTGCAAGGTTTTTGGTATGATTCAAGCTCAAAAAATTTTTGATGGTAGTCTGAATATTTCTATAGGCTGGTATTTATAATATTTCTATTAAACTGGTATTTCAACTTGCAAGTGTCTTGCAGCTGCCAGCTCAAAGTATTGCAAACCATGATTCAACACTACCAAAATAAAATAAAAGTTCAATCTTTAAACTTTCAGGGTGTGCTTGAATTATGTTTACAGATTACTTTTTCATCCATAAGGTCTAACAAACTTCTTTATGAATGCTTTCAAGTATTTCAATATTTTTGCCCTCATGACAATCTCCCAGAATTTGATGCAGTAGAAAAAGCATCACAAAACTTATGAAAAAAAAAAAAAAAAAAAAGAAATAAAAAGACATCAAGGTCTGCCAAGTCCTGTTATAAATATACAAATGTGTTGTAGTTTTATAGGCATTTATCTCACAGACTAATAAAAAGTGTCTAAATGTAGCAAAGGAGGTGAATATGCTGTATATGGACTTCAGTGATTTTTTTTACAAGAACTACTACACAGATAAGGTATCTATTAAAGGAAATCAGCATCATAGAATATTTCATTTTGAAAGGACATGTTAAGGATAGAGTCCTGCTCCTCACAGGACTTCCTAACACTAAGCCATATGACCAAGAGCTTCATCCAGATACTCCTTGAACTCAGACTCCTTGAACTCCTTGGTGCAGTGACCACTTGCCTGGGGAGACAGTTCCAGTGAGGAACCTTTTCCTCATGGCCAATCTGAACTTCCCTTAGCACCATTTCATTTCATTCCCTTGTGTCCTATTACTGTAAATATAATTGCTGAAATATAGAGCATACTTCAAGATTGCAGGCATATATGCTGATATTTTTAACATATGAGTGCCACAGGAATGCACATGGGACTACCAGCAGTGAAATAATTAACTGTCTTTTTTTGTCTGATTTATTCAGAACTTTTTTTTCTGCTCTGCTGGAATTCCTTAGAGAGTAGCTGTTCTGCAGAAAACTAGCTTAAGATTCTAAATCTTTAAAAATGTTATTTTAAGGGAGGCATAAAAAAATTATCCTTCATAGCTACAAGGGATGACAGCATAATATAAGGTATTCTTCTCAATTCTGCAGAAGGAAACAGGTGAAAGAGCAAGCAGTACATTTCAACATGTATGTAAGCTCTGGAGAAGGCCAGGGATATTCATCCTTAATCACATTGGTTGATGTGCTATGTCTTTGATTTTCACAGGAGCACAAGAAAATTGGAAAGCACATTTTGTTTTCCCTGAGTCATGCAATTTCTTTAGCAGTACTTGGAGTATGTTATCCACAATCAGTGCTGATCTGTTTTTTTTGTGGGATTCGTAGCAAACCCAAAATTGATTTTGGAGTGAATTTTGGAGGAATGGAGTGAAATTCTCCTCAAAGGTATGAATCTCCTTAGAAGCTAAGATGTATGTTGTCTAGATTTTTGGGGGGTTTTCTTAATGGCTTAGATTTGTTAGTGGCATGCATACAACTGCTATTGCAGATTTTGCCTGACTCCATTGCATGCATGTCACTACAGCATGTCCTGGCTTTAGCTGGCAGATACAAGACAGTCATTCTGCAACCCTGTTGTTGGTCTGTCACCACCAACTTGTTTTTTCACTATGCTTTTTGTGTTGAATTGACCATGGCTGGATGCCAGGTACCCACCACAGCTGCTCTGTCACTCCTCTCCACAGCAGAGCAGGGAAGAGAAAATATGACAGAAGGTTCATGAATTGAGATAAAGACAGGGAGAGTCATCACTCACCAATTCCTGTCACAGGCAGAACAGACTCAACTTGGGGATATTTGCTGAATTTATTACAGATTAGAATCAGAGCAGGATAATGAGATGCAAAACAAATCTTAAAAATACCTCCCCCACTCCCCTCTCTCCTTCCTGGCTTTACCTACTCCCCCAAAGTGGTGCAGAGAGTTAGGGAATGGGGGTTACAGTCAGTTCATCACAGGTTGTTCCTGCCACTGTTCAGGGAGAGGAGTCCTTCCCCTGCTCTACTGTGGGATTGCTCTCACATGAGACAGTTCTCCACAAATTTCTGGAGCCTGAGTGCTTCCCATGGGATACAGTTCTTCACAAACTGCCCCAGTGTGGGTCACTGGGGACCCATGGGATGAAGTCCTTCAAGAGTAGCCCCACTGCAGTGTGGGTGCCCCACAGGATCACAAATCCTTCCAGGAAACCTGCTTCAATGTGGGCTCCTCTCTCCATGGGTCTTCAGATTCCTGCCAGGAGCGTGTTACAGCATAGGCCTCCCACAGGGTCACCGTCTCCTCTCAGGCATTCACCTCTCCAGTGTGGGTCTCTCCCATGGGCTGCAGGGGGATCTCTGCACTCCCATGGACTTCCCTGGGCTGCAGGGGGATCTCTGCACTCCCATGGACCTCCATGGGCTGCAGGGGAATCTCAGCTCTGGTGCCTGGAGCACCTCCTACTCACCTTCCCCACTGGCCTTGGTGTCTGCAGAGTTGTGTTCTCACATATTCCTCTCACCCTTCTCTTCTCTGAGCACAGCTAAATCTGAATAACTTTTTTTCCTTTTAAATCTGTTATCACAGAGACATTATCACCATCTCTGACTGGGTCAGCCTTGGCCAGCTGCAGTCCTGGAGCCAATGGGCATTGGCTCTGTCAGACATGGGGGAAGCTTCTGGCAACTTCCCACAGAAGCCACTCCACTACCAAAACCTGTTCATGCAAACCCAGTTTGAATACTATTATTTGCTATGATGCATAATTATGTTTGGTTCCCCTGTCATTATTATGTTAATTGTTTCCCAGACAAGGTTCTACACCCAAATAAGTTATATTCTTTCCTCCAGAAAACTGAGAGACCAGGCTTTAGCCTTGGCTGTCAAAAACATGTCTATATTTCCAGAGAACTTGCCATGTTTTCTGAAGTGTGTTCTGCTCAGTGCAGAGCCTTCAGAACTTAAACAATTTTTATTTTTTGCTGCTCACACTCTGTCCAAATAGCAGAGTCCAGTATTGAATGATTCATTTGGTTAGCAGACAGAATCATTAGGTTTCACCTCAAACTCTCCAAACAACATGAGCAAGCTAGAAGAACAAATCAGTTTCCTGAGCTGCACTGCAAGTCACTTATCAGTGTCCACCATTACTTGGTTTTAGTCCATCACGCAGTAATTGGTTTGCAGCCCTCACAACAACATCCTATCAGCCATTCTTGCCTAAAGCAGATTTGAGCCTGGCTCTACTGCCTCTCTTTTACATACAGTGAGACATTTCAGAAGCAACTGCAAATTTTCCAGCAGAGCCCCAATCCATCCTGTAACTTTCCTGCAATCCTCTTCTTAGAAAATTGTTCACAGAGGAGCTTTAGAAAAAAGTATTTAGAATAATGAATATCTGTATCTTACTTACTTTAGCAACATATAGGCCAACACTATTTTTAAAGTTACTTATGTTACATTAAAAGCTTTTAGTTTAGACTGGGTTTTAGATTTTCTAAGCTGTAGTCATGCAGCATGTGTGGGTCTTTCCCAGTGGAAATAGAATGACAGTGCTTCTAGCAGGTAACAAATTCCCTTCCCTTCAGCTCATAATATGGCTCTATCTTGTCTAGTAGAAATGAGAAGGGAAAGAACTTCAAGGGCTCAGAAGTCCTTAGAAGGCACATCAAAATACCACAAACTTGATTTGAAAAATTGCAAGTGTTTAAAGATGCTTTTCATTTTAGGGCCAAATTTCCTCACGTTTTCTGACCAAGTTGACATTGACATTGACATTATCCATTACATGTATTGTAAGGCTACAAGGTGAATTTTGGTTTAGAACAAGGAACTGGGATGTGTGTTATGGCTAAAAGAATAATTAGCTAGATAACATAATAATGCAATCTTCTACCTCACTGTGGAACATGCTTTATAGAGAAAATTGTGAAAATATGTTGTATTTATTTTCTGGTTGGGGGAATATATGCATTGTCTTTCTCTCTCATCACTATTGCTCCTTATTGTGCCCTTCTAATATTCCAAGAAGATAAGATGGGAAACCAAACTTTAAGTGAGGTGATGACATGAAAATTGTAGTAGGACAAATGAACTGTATAAAGAGTTAAAAATAATTCAAGCAACTCGATTGGGTGATGAGAGAAGCATGAATTCTTTAGAAACTGACAGCTTCATAAGAATAATGTCATGCTGCTTTTTTTACCCTATTTTCATTATAGTAGTAATTACTATCTCAATACCAGTCATTTCATGGGGATTAATGACCAGCTGAGGATAATGACCCTCAGCTTTATCTTGAATAATCAACTTGTGCCCATTTATCACTAATCTCCTGAAATTACTCAGCACTCCAATTGTATTACTTATTTATACAGAAATTTGGTAAACATGCATAAAAAGACCCTGTAATGTTTCCAAATTATTCCGCTCACATCCATTGTGCCACTCTTTTTCTTTTCCACCTTCTGATTTAATATTATACTGCACAAGAAGCAAGCTCCTTGTTTGTGAGACTATTGATGAATAAGACAGTGAATACCAGTTTCAAAATTTCATCCTGCTTTTTTATATTAAAGTATACGTATAACACCCAAATCCATGCAGAAATCTATTTTTAATAAATTGCTTGAAGAGACCTAATCCAAAAGAAACTCAATTATAAGAAAAAATGCAGTGGTCAGAGATAGGAGATATGTTCAGCTCAGTGCTGTAGCTCTGTTGTGGTCTCACTCCCATGGGCAGCCTCAGCACCACACATCCACTCGTTCACTCCCCTGCAGTAGGACAGGTGAAAGAATTGGAAGAATACAAGTGAAAAAGCTCTTGGCTTGAGATAAAGATAGTTTAATAGGTAAAGCAGAATCTGCACCTGCAAGCAATGCAAAAGGAATAATTAATTCTCTGCTTCCCAACAGCAGGCAGGTTTAGCCATTTCCAGAAAAGCAGGACTCCCTCACGTCTCACGGTTACTTGGGAAGACAAGGGCCATAACTCCAAATATACCACCTGCCTTTCCTTCTTCTTTCCTCCAACTTTTATTGCAGAGCATGATGCCACATGGTATGGAACATCCCTTTGGCCAGTTGTCAGGGCTCAGCTGTCCTGGCTGTGTCCCTTCCCAGCTTCTTGTGCACTCAGCCTAAGCACTGGTGGGGTGGTGAGAGATGCAAAAGTTGCCCTGGTGTTGTGTAAGTGTTGTTCAGCAATAACTAAAACACTGGTATGTTGTCAACACCTTTGCCAGCACAAATCCAAAATATATCAGCATGCAAATTACTGTGAAGAAATTTAACTCTAACCCAGCCAAAAGCATACAAGCTCAAATGACCATGTCTGTTTGTGAGGAATGTTTCAACATTTGTTTTGTTGGAAAAAAAATGGTTGCAGTGCAAGTAAGACTAGAAGGAAACAGGCTTCATAATCAAATGCATATATTGATATGTTGTCACAAAATTTCTTAACTTTCTTCAGTGAAATTTATTTCATTGTTATTGAAATTTTAGAAATAGAGAAGTAACTAATTTTGTGTTTAGAAAGAGCTATTTCATGAAGAGCTAAACTGTCAAGTGTGGCTCTAATGATAGCTATACATTTTTAACTACTCAAAGAATATCTCAAGGTATTATCCCCAGAAGGATTATATAGCTCAGGAATGACAGCAAAATCTGAACAGTGCCTTTTTGAGGCTGCCCTCATTTGTATTTGGTCTATGGTCCATAATTTGAAAATAGAAATGCATTAGTGGAGCTTTTGCTGCCTGCAAATTTTTACCATGTTAATTAAGTATTCTTCAAAATAATGTACCTCTTTAATTCTGTTATATGGCTGACGGATTCACATTTGTACTTCGTTTAGTTAATGGTTTTTTAATGTTCTAGAACATACTGAACTAGGCAATAGATGACAGTACACAGCTCCAACACTCCTGGAATCTAAAGCAGGTCTTTTGGTTTGGTGATATCTAGGTGATTTAAGATATTCTGCTCCTTTTTATTCTTGCCTGGAATAATTTCCACTAATGTTGCCAGGTATCTGTTAATTGTTTTCTTCTTCCAAATTGGCCATGTAGGTTTCTAGTTCTCACACATACAAAAGATTGCTTTGGCCAGCAAGCCATACCAGCATTCTGCTGAACTGTTCTTCTCCCAAAGGAGGTAAAAAAGTTTGCCAAAGCAAAGAAGTACTTTTTACTATTATTATTATTATTTTACTATTATTACTATAATCATCATCATCGTCATCACTACTAAGCATTCATGGCTGCAACTGTCTTTAATTTACCCCCCTGCAGTACTGATGGCTGCCAGCTGAGGGTCTGTGTGGCACTGTAAGTTTCCAGTCTATTTCCACAGACCAGCATTCACTTCACCTTTTGAGTCAGCTGTCCTTCCACTAAGAGGCAGTATTGGCCTATCTTTCCTAAGTCATAGATCCCACAGAAATTAAAAGCAACATGAAAACCTGGTGTAGCAACTGATCCTAGGTTTAATTTCATCCAACTCCTGGGGTTAGACAGTGACTATAATATTTGTCACATTGATAAATACAGAGAGTTCCAATGACAAACATTTGGGCATGACATGGATTTAAAGACACTTGCTGGACAGGGTTCAGTGCAGCACATGGTGATTGTCACAATGTGCCTTTTCACACTTGCTAGAGAGATAATTTTAACCAAGTAGTTCAAGCTGCACAGATATAGGCTGCATTCAGAAGATATATGTCCAGGCTTCATGGTAATGGTAGAAATTTTACAGAAATTATGACTTACAAACTAGGAAAAATGTATGCTTTGGATTCTAGGGTATTACAGCTCTTCATGTCAAAATCAAATGGTCAGGTGTGAAAAATGTATTGCTAACTATATTTTTAGAGAATTGCAGAAATGTTCTGGTTATTTCATGGGTAACCAGTAAGCTGGTAACAAAGATAATTTTAATTTTTTTCCTGGTATTACAGTGCCATGACAAAACATTTTTCCCACTTTGGTTAGTAGGTCAGTCTTTATTTTTTTTTTAATTTGAGGCTTGTTTTTCCTGTGAGTCAGTATGATAACAACTGTGGAAGAAACTGTTGGTTTTTAGCAATTAGTTAGCATCAAGACAGCTAGACTTGGCTCACGTTAGTACTGCTAGGTATAAAAGATGGATAACCTGGCTGTTATTCATGACATTGTGTGGTGTAGAACAGAGAAGTAATCAATCTGGTGCAAGTACCAAAATAATCTGATCACATGGTAGGATTGTCATTGATGCAAAACCTCTTCCTACACTCAAGCTGAGGATTATCCTTAGCAATGAGATATATAGAAAGGTGCTTTTCACCTCTTTTTGGAAAAAATGAAAAAGCATCTGGCCTGAATTTAGGCTGACTCACAGGTATCAAGTAATTGATACAGTTCAGTGATGTATAGACAAAATTAAGTGGTCTCCTGACACTAGGAATGCCTGAAGTCCACAGTGCCGGTAGAAAAAGTGTGTGTTTATGAAGCTGTCTGTCAGCATTTGGACTGTGGCACTGACTGTTTTCAACAGCAGGCAGATGGCTCTGGTCCCTTGCAGAGATCACATGCCCTGAATTCTCAGATATTCTTCTGTGAGCTCTCCACCTTTGAATGGAAGCATCTGTCATCACAGACTTGTTTGGCCAAGATAAGATGGGTTTGTTCTGGCACCTCTGAAGCAAGTCTTTCTACCAATTTGATGAAAAGATTTAAGAACAACTACTGTGCATGAGAGATGTCTGCATGGTGGAAATCATGCATAGAGCATAGATAAACTCTGTCAAAGTACATAAAATAGAAAGGCACCTTCCTACTTAAGCTGGTTCAAAAGCTCAGTATAGTCTAAAATCATTCTTGTGCAAGCATTCTTGTACAGCTACTGTGAACTTAACATTTTCAGTTGAAGTAAAGGGGAAGTTTTTTGGGTTTGCTTTTTTTTTGTTGGTTTGGTTTTTTTGGGGGGGGCATAAGGGTTCTTTTTGTTGTTGGTTGGTTTGGTTTGGTTGGTTTTTAGGCTTTAATGGTTTGGTCCAGCTGGTCAGTTTAGCTGATAAGAATGTAATATCCTTCTGTGTCATAGCAAGATGGTGTTTAAAGGCATTTTGGGAACTCTTAGACTAAATAAAAGACAATCTGAAAGTTTGGGAAGAAATGGAAGATGAAATTGACCTCAGTGTTCAGAAATCAGGGCCATACAAAGTTAAAATCTTTTAAGATCTCCTTAATAACTGTGGCTAGAGGAGGAATTGTAGAGTTACATAGGTTATATAGGTGGGTGTTTTGATATAAGGGTACAAGACAGAACAAAAGCTATTCCAGGATGTCAGTATGGTACTAACAGACACAGTGTTCCTCTAAGTACTGTAGTTATGTCCTTTGTTTTTGAGTACTCCCTTTTTACTAGCAGAACATCAATTTTCTGGTTAGGGAAAGTCAAATCATCATGTTTCTGACATGGTACTCCATAAAGATAAATTTTAGCCCTCATCATAGTATCAACTGCAGTTTTGAAAGTTAATTTGAAAGATTTTACGAAGACAAATCATGGGAAAATAATATAAAAAGAAGGAATAACTGTTTTCCTTACTGTGACATTGTGTCTGTAAACCCTCTCAATCTTCTGAGCTTTCCATGTTCTTCTGCAGTCCTATAGTTCTATAAGTCTGTGCCATGGAAGGATCTGAAAGATTTTACCCTTTGTATCACTAAATGAAGGCATTGAATTTAAGAAACTTTGGCCTACCTTGCTTGCTCATATTAAAAACATTCTAGTATTGTTTTCTTTATTAACTTGTCTGTTATAGCAAGGATTAGCCAAAAAAGTTTGGGTGGTTTTTTTTTTTCCTCACAGGTATTTAAACCTTCATTTAACAAATCTGTGCCAGTGTCATGATTTCAAAAGAACCCACAGTAGTAGGTGTATGATTAACAGTAGCCTTGATAGAGTACTGAAATAGCTGCAATATTGTCAGGTCAAGTCTAGACATCAGAACAGAAAGTGAGTCTGTCTCATCATCTTAAGGTAATGCCTGGGCAAAGAACTGATAAGAAAAAAACTGATGAGATAGGAGCTAGGAAATGAGAATACATCTAGTGCAGAGCCAAGAACAGCAGGAGATGGAATGCAGGAATTCTAAGAAGGAGATTGGTTGGGGCAGAAGGAAGAACAACCTGTAGCTGGGACTGACCAAGAGAAGAGAGAATGGTTTGCAGCTGGGGCAGGTGGTAGACACATAGAACAAGAGTCAGGCTCAAAAGCTCAGACAAAAGGGAATCCAGAGAGAAATTCTTACAACCTTTCAATACTTAAAAAGGGCTTAGAAGAGAATTTTTTTTTACCCGGGCCTGTAGCAATCAGTGAGGGGCAACAGTTTTAAACTTAAAGCCATAAATATAGATTGGACATAAGGAAGAAGTTTTCTGTCATGACAATGGTGAGACACAGGGAAGTTGTGAATGCCCTATCCCTGGAAGTGTTCAAGTTCAGTTTGGATGGGGTTTTGAGAACCTAATGATAGTCTTCCCTGCTCCTAGCAAGAGCATTGGCCTACATGATCCTTAAAGGCCTTTTCGAGTCACAACAATTCTGTGATTCTAATTTTTGTACAGATATGGTACCCCATCAAGGATTAGGTTATTCACATAGCAGGTTAAGTGGATGTTTGCTGTCAGCCTTTACTCCACATGTTTTGTTTTTCCTTAAGTGCTCTTGACTTTACAACTTTAATAACAATCCTTCAGCTGAGGGATTTCTATCTACCTTTGTTGAAATGTGCATGCGAAGCTATAAACTATTTTTCGTATTTTTTCTTTCCTCATTCCTGGAATACTTTGATATCCTTCAGTACTTCAGTAATCAAAATAACACTGCTTCCTGAGGGGCCACGAATAAAGAAATGTTTGCAAGGCCTTTATTTATCTGAGTTATACAAATTGTATACAAGTAATCTGGAAAAATTCTAGAAGAGGTTTTAACTTGCATTGGAGACTGGTAGAACATTGAGACAAAACCAAAACAACCAGTTTTACTTTTTCACAGCATTGATTATGATAAATCTTTGCATCATATTTTCATAGTATCGTTGTTACAATATAATGCAGCTTGATTTGGAGACAAGTTTCACCAATATAAAGCTGACAGATGCAGCTTCATCACTTTCTCAGCTAATTTTCCATGTAGCAAGCTAAAGAGAAATGAGAAAAGAAGTGATGTTAAAGACTTGCTTTCAACTAGTTCTTCATAGTGCTGAAGTTTCTGGACATGCTACATCAGCAACATAAGTTAAAGCTGTCCCACAAATGCATTATGTTGCATTCAGGCTTCATTGATTATCTATGGGAGACCTTTGCACCATGCTGTTCTAATTCTATTTGTATGCTGTGAAGACTAGTCTATAAATTTTGAGTCAGAGGATAATTAGACAAATTCCCTGTATGTAACATAAATGATAGAGTTTCACCCAGAGATTTCTGCATCAAACTGTTGTAAACTATGAACTAAAACCATTTCATTTGATAAAATTTTGAGGTTCCTTGGCTTCTATATCATGCTCATACATCATCTTTCCGCTGGTAGCACAGAGATTGATCCCATGCCTGGTGAGTGTGAATAGTGAGAAATTCTTACTTCCAACTATCTACCAATTTTTCCCCCCCAGGTATCTCTACTATCCAAAGGGAACAAGGAACTATCCAGCAGAAGAAAAGAACATGTGATTCTAAACAAAGGGTTTGGAATTGTTCCCAATGAAGTCATCCTGCCTGTACTTCAGCAGAGGCTGATTACCAAAGGGCCGAGCTTTGCTCATTGAATTGCATACCAATGTGGAATAACTTCAAGTATCATTTCCAGATGATACTCTTTAGCTTTGTTTACAGCAAAAGCACTTTCCAATAAGTATTGTGAAAAATGCTTCTAGGTTTATACATTAGGAAAAAAACACAATTCTCAACAGTACATATTTTCTATGTTTACAATTTTTTTTAAGCTGTTGCATAGTCAGGTTTTCTGGAACGATGGTTCAGTAGCTTTATTTATATTCATGCATGCCTTCTGTGTAAAGAAAAAGAGCTTTGTAATGTGACCAGACAGAAAATATATGTAGATTCATTGTACCAGAATTAGAAACAGATTAAATACCCTCAGTATGATTTTAATATTTAGAAGGAATTTCACTTCTTACATTTGGATAGTAGCAAATTCTAATCCTGATGTGATATGTTAGTAGTCACTATTTGCAACTGGCACAGCTTCTGAAATCATTGTTACTTTAAAACCAGCTGGTTTTACTGCTATTTCTGTCTTCATATTATATGTCAGTAGCCACACGTTGTATAGATCTGTGTACATAAAATGTATCATGTACATATATATACATTTTATATCCACAGTAATTTTACTCTTTAACAGGCTTAAGTAAATTAAATGCATTTTTTGTTGCTAATCAAAAGTACTTAAGGACATTTCCAGAATTTCAATATTTATTCACTGTGTTAAATTAGATTAAAATGTCTCACTCCAGCAACAGAGAAGCTATGTTTTTTGTCTACAGTTTAGTTAGGAATTCTTACTAAGTGCAAAGGTTTTTCTCTACAGTTGCTACTGTGGCAACCATAACTGTTGCAAAGTTACAGGATGCACTTGGTGGTTGTGGTTGAAAATTGTCAGCTTTATAGTAATCACACAATTACTTGTAAGTAATTTGATACAGATATGTAGTGTACATTTTTCTTTATTTTTCCCCCAGTGGTTTGTTTGTAACTTTAAATAGCTTATTTGTATTAGTTGTGTAACAATTTAAGTGTATAATTTTACCTTTGTGACTTCAATGCCCCAAATTGTGAAGCAGTGAAAAGGGACCCAGTGGACCATGCAAAAAACCCCAAAAACAATAGTAATAAAACTGATCATTTTTTCACATACATATTATGTTGAAAGTCATCAGGCACTGCCTTTGCATCTGTACAATGGTGCAATATTGATAGCAAAGGTCTGTTAAGGGTCAAGGTGTATCATTGCTAAGGTATCACCAGCAGGTAGCTATAGTTTGCACCATGAATCGCTAGAGATGATGCATTTCTTGCAATGGTGCCACTCAAAATCAATTTCTATTCTAGTTCACAGTGTTAGTTTTGCTTTGCTAGAATGAAGAAAGGGAATGCAGTATGGTTAAATCTGATGGATTATATAGCAAATCCACACTGCATATGACTACCAATGGAACTGATTACATGGTTATTTTATCAAAAAATCTTTATTTAAATTCAACTTTGATATGTTCTACTCAAATTGCCTATGAATTCTAATAATAATTTTCCACTGAAATAGCATATAACAATCTACACTTAAAGTAACCTATTTTAGTACAAATTTTTTCAGAAATTTTTATAATTCTAAACTGCCAGTGCACTGAATGCCTTCGAAATACTTTTGACTTTATTTCAAGTGTGTTTTGAAGTATTACTGTTTATATATTGTCTGGATTTGTATGATTTAAATTTATAATTTATGGTGGTTTCTTTTTGTTGAGAAATAGAATATAATTAATTAGTGTTACTGTTATTTTTTATTGTATTTTTAGTGCTTTTAATTTTGAAGCAAATTTTGTACTTGTTTTTGTGACTGTGAGACATGGAATACTAGGTAGTGGCCAGCAGAGGAGCAGACTTCTCTCCAGTAACTCCAAGAAAACTCCAAATGGATTGGTGGCATGTGCAACCACCAAGGCTTTGATTTGAAGAAGGAAATCAGTGGTCTTTTCTGTTTCTTTCCCAGCGTTCCATAGGATTATTTTTCCCTCTCTGGCTGCAACAGAACAGACATACTGACTGTTGTAGGAAAGAGCTGATTGATGCATTTTGCATGTAGGGCAACCAGTGGCTACAGAAGATCCATTATCTAAGCTGCTAAATAGTTTATGGCATGAATACATAGATGCTCTCCACTGAGACCAGCTTCCATTGTGTTTCCCATTGTAGGAAAGGTAACAAGAGCCAGTTCTGACATGAATGATTTCTGTATGGCTCAATTGTGTATATCTAGATAACACGGATAAAGCATATTTAGGGGAACACAGAAACCAAAAGTAAGTTGCTCAATATCTTCAGCAAAGTTGAGAATGGAACTGACATCTCTGGGTTCCAGTTCAGTTTATGGCTGTTATCCTTCATGGTGGTAGCTCTTTTTTTCCTCATATATTTGACATCTTTAATGTAACCTGTGCAAAAATCGGAGAAACAGTCATAGTTGAGCTAACTGTTTAGCTAATTGAAAAAGATCCTGCAAAGTTGAAAATCAAGATGTTGAAAAGATGTTGAAAAACTACAGCTACAGGTGTAGTTTTTCAAAATGGTTAGTACCACAAGAGCTAACTTTTCATAATTTGTGAGTTAAACTGTGACTTATGCAAGCCTTTCAGTTTGCTTGGCTGCACTAGAGTGCCTGAGATTATGTAGTGTTCTGTCTTCTATTATTCATGCACTTACTTTCTACAGTCATCTGATTACAAACACTTTCTCAGGAGAATGTACTCTGTATATATTCTGTAGCCTGATTTACATATGTTATGCTCTGTCTGAATCATTTCCCAGTCTCCTTTCATATCCATCTGAATAATCAGATGTTGACAATGGACCAAATAATAAGTTTTATTCCATAAAGAAATTCCTGTTTACAGGCACAAAATAATGTGTTTAAAGACTGTTTCTTAAAGTCATTGTAATTTTGTGGGACTAGTGCCTGGTTATTGGTATTTCACATCAGGAAATTTGACTAGTTAAGGAACTTCTGGAATTGTGTTCATTGAAGAAGAAAGGCTAACAAATTCCCATGCTGTGAACAGGAAAGCTTCTAGCAGTAATTTCTCCAAACTGAATAATAGACACAATTTTAGCATGTATGAATTCTGCCCTACTTTTGGGAAGAACCAGCAATTCTGAATGACTTCATTTCAGGAGATGTGAAAAGAGGAAGCCACTTGAGAATATTTGGGTTTGACTGTATGAATTCACCATGCACTTGAATTAAAAGACTTCTCAGCTGAAGGTTTCATCTTTCAATTTGTCTAGACAGATAACAGCAATTGGAAACAAAGATCTTCTAATTAATTTTGTTTCGTGACTTGAAGGAAGCTAAATTTTATGAATACTCTGTGTTCAACTGTTCTCAACAGGAGACAGTGAGAATCATAGAAAACTAGTAATTTAAGAATATTTAACATTTGAGTCCTCAAATTTCCTACCAAACTAAAAATTATTTCTATGAAAACTTTATGTCCGTAATTGAACCCATTGTCCACTGCTGCATTTTTACCTATGTTTCTAATTTCCACCAGTCAGGAGATGTTCCCTGACTTAAACTGTAATTGGATTTATTCCATTTTGCTCCAAACATAGGCTTGCTGTGGCTTCATTACTGTCTTTTGTCTGCTCCCATCTCCATTGGTGCAATGTAAGCAAATGCAGATAATTTTTAGTTGAGAGTTTGCTTAGCAGTGGAATCTGTAGTCAGTTGCAGTCAAAATCTTTATAGACAATGAAGACACACACATATTTTTGTGTGTATATATATATATGTGTGTATATATGTTATATATATATATATATGTGGTTTTTTAAAGTTAATATCGTTGAAATCTTAGCAGTCTAATTAAAGAATCATTAACAGTGTAGACCTCTTGCAGGGAAAAGAAAGATTAGTAATGCAGTTAAATTATTTTACAAACACTTTTTGATTCTCCCCATTTGGGGCATTCATACTCACCGTTGCACTGCTCCTTAGTGTCCCAAGGTCAGTGGTTTGGTTCTGGTGGAGTTGTCAGCAGTTGTAGTCCTGTCCTAGGAAGAACAAGATGTTCACGTTGATGACTCCATCTTCCTCACCCTAGGATCCACCATTTGGGATCATTTTTCTACATTTGCTAACACACTTCTACTCCTTTGCCTTTTCTTTGTTTTTTTGCAGCTCTGTGAGACATCTGTATTTATAATGTATGGTGCATTTTACATGTACTGATACTGTTTCTTTATTCTCTTAGATATCACTAACCTCAGTTTCGTCAGATCTGCATTTTGTTGCTGATCAAGGCTGAGTTGTTTATAGTTACCAGAGCCAAGTCTGTGCCTCATCTCTTACCATCCCATAGCTGAATTCCTCTTTACCACATCTTGTGTTTGAAGGCACAGCTCTCTTAAGGACCCTGCTGTCTGACCAGGCCTCCATCTCTTCATACTATGTCCTTATGTTAGTCTTGTAAGTATCTCAGTATACATTGAGTAGACACTTTTTACAGCTCTCTGCATAAAACTATTATTGTTCAAAGACAAATCAAAGTGAAACAATTAGAGGTATTGAACTGGTCAGTTGGAGGAATCACAAACACATCTGTTCCAATTGAAACAAAGATATATTCAGACAAAGCACAGCTGACAAGCCTCAGGACTTGTGAAGCCTTGCAAATTAAGCGTTTATGGCCTGTTGGTGGTAGTGGTACTGCTGTATTGCAGAGCTCTAAGATTGCAGCTTCCAAAACTTTAAAAAAATGCGCTGCCTCTTGTTCCTGTACCCCGTGTACTGCTCTTAATGCCTTCAAAAGGTACAAGTCATTAACACCATGGCAATATTCCCAAGTGTCAGAAAAGAAGGAAGATCTTGTCGCTGAAGTCTGGTGTCTGTGATCTGTTGTGTGATCAGAAATACTCATTTAAAGAGGACTAATGTCTCCACGCTTGCCGAAACGGTGAATTGCAGTTGCCAAGTGTGTGACCGTGTGGCTGAAGCGTGGTCAAACAGCCACCCTTCAGAGCAGCAAGCAGTGCTGCTGCAGGGTAAAAAAGAATGGGTGAAAACAGGAGATGCACCTCACCAGACAGAAAATTAGTCTCTTTGCCAAAGACATGGTTTGAATACAGAGGACTCACTGCCTGTGCATCTGGTGCAGCCTATGCTGCAGTGCTGGGGGATGGGAAGAGACCACTGACTTTGTGAACTGAGCAAAACATGATCTGTGGTGTTCCAGCCATCTGTGGGGATCTTGGATCCTTGATGGCAGGGCTCCATGAGGAATAGTTTGATTATTACTGATTGTAGCCACTGAAAAGATCATGACCATGAGGGTATGCTGTTGGAGAGTGGGATGTCAGTTTGCTCTCTGAGCTTACTTATAGCTTTCTTATTTTTTCTACCTGGTCCTCAGACAGCATAGGGATGGAGTTCCACAGAGTACCTTCTTGAGTTTCTGCCACAGTGTAATATGTATAGATTCTACAAATACATGTATAAAATAATTGAATCAGTAAATAGAGCCATTGAAACAATGTTTATTGACATTATTTAGAAAGGTTTTAAAATTTTGTTTTAATTAGCAGTATTTGGAATCAAAGTTTTGCCTTTAGCATGATCATGGTGATTAATTCTTTACCTTTTCTTAGGCAGGTCATGATACAGTGGAATTATACAGGATGATTTATGTTAGCAGAACACATCAGTTTGATCTAGTGGATTTGACACTCTGGCCCACAGCCCGTGACACAGCATATACCTGAAGAGGTGTGGATCTAGTGTCAGTTGTGATCCTTTGTAATGTAATCCAGTTCCAGCCAATGAAAATAGACTGTAGACAGCAGTGTGCCAAGCAGAAGCAGGACTGACAATGTTTCACCTGTTGGCAATGTTGGTAGGATTGATCCTCTCCTGAAGATCTGTAGGAGACAGAAGGAGCACAGTAAACCCCAGAGACTTCTGTAAAACTCTACAATGCAATCTGTTAGTCCTAAATTACTGTGCTGAATGGATCATTTCTGCAATTAGGTCAATATTGCATAGAGCAGGCATTAAATAAATGAGTGAGGTGTAGCACTCTGACTGCAGACAGCTATTTTTGAGGATGTCTTCAGTGGGGCCTAAATTAAGGTTGACCTATT